GCATGCAGTAATCTTGATCATGCAAAAGTTATGTTCCCCTATGGAATTAATACCATTAAACACCATGAGAGTAAGAAAAGTGCTGAAGATACATCACAGAGATGTCACATTCACGATGATTAATAGCCTCAATGTCATATATAGGTATAATTTGTACACAGCCTATACAGTTCTATGCAAACATGAGGGTGCCCCTGGTCAAATTACATGTTTTGTTGATTTTCTAAGTGAAAATAAGTTAACGCCTCCTCTATGGAGAGCACACTTCTGCACATTTTAATGCACTAATATTGGTTATTTGCTGAATTTAACATATTGGGAAGAAATATAAAATGTGCCCTTTACAAAACCATCAGAAACCAAAAGAAACACTTTTCTATGTTTAGCAGGCATATGTTCAGAAAAGTTTGTTTTAGCCTAAAGCTTGATATTATGCTCAGGTTAACCCTGCTTAAGGAAAAGTTGCAATTAGTCCTGCAAATGTTTTGTAAGTTTACACATAAAGCCCCTGTGTTAAGGATAAGTTAATTGATCTATATGTCTACATAACCCATTAGTTTACCCAGGCCACATCAGCTGTAGTTCGTGAAATATTTACCCTGTGAATCTCTACATGCATTCAAACCAAAGTTTGTTTTAGCCTAAAGCTTAAAATATAACGTTAACCAAATGCAAATTAGCCCCACCCATTCATGCTGAAGCTAGGAGCCAGGACTGCTTTTTGAGTAAGGCCCAAAACAAGGCAGCTAATCAGAACAGAAGCCATTTACATACATCATTCTTAAAGATGCAGTAACAAAAACAGCCTGTTTAATTCTAAGCACCAGTTTCATTACCGGGTTTAACAAGCCCTCATTTACTTGGCCTCTCTGTTTCCCCTCGGGAGAATCCTCAATGCTATCTTAAGGCTGTTCCATTACTTTATTGTCTCAAGTGAAGTGTGGAAGAAGAGCCCTCAGAGAGTCGAGGGACCGAATACACAACTTTGGCAGCAGAACTTGCCCAGAAATCATTGTGAACTCACACAATTCCATTTTCAAACTTGAAAATAATGGCTGATTAAGCTGTTCGTAATCAGCAAACTGCTTTAAAATGCTTGATATTTCAAAACCATAACATTCAGTTAGACATGACTTGCATACTACTCCATCTGTTATACATGACTGCTGATAACATCACTTTACTCTGCTAGCTTGCTAGTTAGCATGCTAAAGGCTACACAGCTAACAACAACAAAAAGAAATGGCTACTACACAATGGTGCTACACTAAGTTTATAGCCAGGCAAAGCAGTTATTCACAAATTTTATTAACTGTATTGTGTTCAGACTTCTCGAAAAAAGTTGTGTGTCACAAAGTTTGCATGGCTAGCTGATAAGCTCAGTGAGGCTGACCTGCAGAGGGTAAGTCCGTTTTGTTTGAATTATCTGCTTTTCACTGTTTCCTGTTGTCCTTCGGCCTCCAGTGTAACGTAGGTGTGGCACACATCTAAAGCAGTGAGTTGAAGTGAGCCAGGGCACATTATAAAAAGTATTGAAACAGGTCCGAAGAGATAAAGAGAGGTTGGAAAATGCCCATGCAAAAGGAATTATGATTGTCTGCGGTACATAAACCCACACAATCGTCAGGGATAAGAATTAAAAATGCGAGAAAAATGCAAGGATGTGGCCCCTTTAAATAAGCTACTTTGCACACCAGTAGAGGTCAAGGGAGGCGAGAGGTGATTTGTTGTGTGCTACTACTGGCATCAGAATTAGAATGTTAGAACAGAAGTGAATAAATAACATGATAACGAATGCAGGCGGTGCAGAAGTAGCGGAAATGTGCCGGTCTGATGGCTGGTGCGTGTGGTGGGCTGGTTTAAAAGGCGCTGTGTGAGTGGGATGGGATGGAAAGGTGAGTCAGCAGGGGTGCTAATGCAGAAATGAGCAGGACTGATGCGCTCTCACTGAACAGCCCCAGGCTCTCAGACTCAGCCACCATATGTGTGCTTTGCCTCATCTCCCTTACACAGAGAACACACACTCACACTGTTCTACTCAGTAACCCTCTACTTATCATTTGTGTCCATATGCCTTGTAATTGGTAACTAGATTCTGACAAACTACTACAGGACCCCCAAATAAGTCGTACCTTTGTAAAGACAATTTGCGTACATTTCAGCTTGATCAGATACGCAGTGTGGTTTTATTTCATACTGTGTATTGGTGAAGGCTGCTAAGGGGATGGTTTAGGGTACTACAGCAGCATGCTGCAGAGATACCTCAGGGATGTTAGAGCTAGCTGAGGGATGTTATGTATTATCTGGGAACAGACTTGTCTCCAGGCTTAACCCTGGATGTTCTTCAAGCGTACAAATGTACAATGCATTTACACTTTCCTACGTTGAGGAGAATTTATCTCTTCCCTCTCCTTTAGTAACAAACATTGCTTGCCTCCAGAAATAATAATGTCATCTCAAAGAATCTGTGTGTCCAGAGACAGGCACTGAAGCATCCTACCGAAAATCAAATATAAAAAAAAACCCTCAAACGTTTTAATAAAACATAGTGGCGCAGGGACACTAACCCCTTTTTTTAAGATTAATGGCAGGGAGCAAGACTTTTTTCACTCGTTCATTTTATTTCTCAATAATTCATTTGAAGAGAGGGAAAACTAACAGGTTCTGCTTACGTATGGTGAAGACTAGCAGACCTTTAGAGAGGGAGTGAAGGGTAGGGAAGGACAAGCTTTAAGGGCAAACGCCTCCATTGCTTGCTAACGGCCCTTAATTAGTGGATTTTCTTGGATGCCTGAAGATTTACCATTACAGCCTGCCATCAGCTTCCAGCCCAATAGTCTGAATAAATGTTGTGAAGGGTCAGCTAGGGATACTGCACTTGCATGGTAGTTTATATCACTGCATTTGGGGTATTTTAAATTAATAGAGTGCTTTTGAAATGAGTATGAATAATCATTTCGCTATCAAATTCACCTTATCTTGCAATCATATTCATACAGAAATTAAAATTCTGTGCATAGCCATAACTCAATGTAAGAACGGCAGTGTTTGTAGGTCAGTCAGTTACATCTTGTTTGTACACAGTAATATTCATTGAACGTTGTTGATTATAAAAAAATAAATAAATAAAGACACAAACAGCACTCTTAATAACACGAGCAGATGAGCAGTCACAGAAACAAAAAGGTTTTAAATGTGATTCCTAACAACTCCAAACGGGCAAAGGTGTCAAGTCCGTGGCCGCCGTTGATCTGGGGAGGCATTAAAAGATTAAAAGGTTTATCGTCTGTCTGTGCTGTTGACAGCGGTTCCGAGTCATTAGCGTCATTAGCATTAAGCTGGTGCCATCAATAACAGGCCGGCTGAGCGATCTCTCTCCCCAGGAGACTGCTCCCAGAGTTGGGACCAGCTTGCCAGCTTAGTGCCTGACCTCCTGCAGCTCTTGATCTGGTTTGCTATAGATGTCCTAGACGATGATTGAATGAGAAAGAAAGAAAACATTGTTCTAAGCAGGGCTGGCGATGCCAACATGCTATTGTTATCATGATAAACTACCTCACAGTAAGACTGTCAATACATAAATGCCATAATTGGGTCTAGTTTTGGCTTAATGTACCTAGTAGCTTTTGAAAGCAATCACTGTTCACCACATCTTTCTCTGTTATTTTGCATGCCCATCTGGGATTTCCTCACACCACCATGCATCACACTTTCTCTCAGAGAACATGGACAAAACAGTTCCTTGCAGATGTTTACTTTCGATGTGGTCCACCGTGTGCCATCCTCTCAAAAAGTGGTCCCAAACACCACTTATTTTTAGCAAGCTTATCCAGTGGAACAAATAACTAATTGCTATTGCAAATTGGGACCACTTATTCAAATTTGACCTGTTGTTTTTTCAACATGAAGTAAATATAAATCAATGTTTTTTAACTAAAGTACTGGCTAAACAGTTGTTGCTGGTTAACAGTTAATCATTCAGTTGTTTTCATTTCTAACTGTAATATGCATTGTGTATCATGAAAATGTCTTCAAGTATTGTCATATTTTTTCTGCCTTGCCCACTCTTCCATGCAAAAGTTTGGTGACCCTGGTTAAATTATAAGGCTTGTTGACTTTCTAAGTGTAAATAAGTACATATTATCTACAGAGAACATACTTCAGCACATTTTAATGCACAATTACTGTTTATTTGCTACATTTAACATATTGGAAAGAAAAAATAAAATTGTGGCCTCTGCAGATGTCATGACACAAACTTAGCAAATTAATAGAAACTTTACACTAAAATTTGCAGAAAAAATGTGTTATTTTCACCAAAAAAATCAGCAAAACGTAATCTAACTAGGGTGTTCAAACTTTTGCAAACAACTGTATTTCCTATATGTTACATTTTTCATATGACATTATGTCAAGTTGACTGTGTGGTTTGGAAGCTGGTGCACTCTTGGTCTGGGTTTGGATAAGGATGCCACTCCTGAGAATGCCAGTGTCAGGCATTTATGCTGGCAGGGATCATGTTGCCTTGTTGACCGTGTATCCTCTTAGCATTTGTTTGTGTGTGGATCTGTGAGCGTGTGTTAGACACTGTCCTGTGTGTCTCCGTCCTCATGTAAGCGTCAGCATTTGTGCCCATGGCTGTCAGTGCAGTGTTCATGTTTGATAGTGACTGAGAGAACGAGTAGTGTCAGGGTGCCAATATGAGTATAAGTCAAAGTGACACACTCTGACAGAGATTCCAGAACAATCCACTGCCTATTGCACTAGAGCGAAAGTCTGTCTCTCTCAGTGGGGCCGTCAGTCAGTGCCTGCCCCGGTGTGCCCGTTTGTTACAATAATGGAGATGAGCTGCAGGTCTGGGCCAGGTGAAACTGTTCTTCTAGGTTTGCTTGGCTCGAATACAACACTTTACAATGCGCCTTTCTCACTTCTTAAAAAAAAAAAGTCTGGATTTGTGTCAAAAATGTGATCAGAGTTTTATCCAACTTTGCGATGGTTTGGCCAAATACCAAATTTACATGATTTTCCCTTTACTCATTTAGCTGAGACATATTTGGTGTCTAATACTTGCTTCTTTAGTGTAGTAGTGCACTATAACTACAAGATTAATGTAGTTAACAAGTAATAGTTATGCCACCTGTTAGCATCATGGAAACTGCATGCCTACTATGTAATGTCAAACAGACTTGTATGTTTTCTGACACTCTGATATGCTTGTCTATAAAAAGGGTCAAACATACAGACAAAATTCTAGCTTCGATTACTGTTTTTAGCTGTGACTTTTAGATGTTTTTAAATGTATTTTTTATACATGCTGCCAAATTTTTTGTGTAACACCAGTGCCATCACCTAAAAAAGTGAGCCTACAGTCCTACACTAATTTGGACGAAGCCAGTTTTTTCCTTCCCTGCCGCTAAATGAACCCGTTTGTTAACTCTTATAGATAGTTGAATATCAAAATTAGCATCACTAGTGGGTATAAACTTCCACAACTTGTTAACAACATTAGCCTCTACAGCAAAATTAAAGAAGCAAATGCTGAACTCAAAACAGGCCCTGGCTGATCAGCAACATTCAGGATGAAGGGAAAACTGTAAATCTGACTTGATCAAAATTACTTTAACCAATTTGTTAAGGAAATGCTAAACCACTGATACAAAATGCTAAAGATGAACAAGATACAAGTGTCACTGAAAAAATTGGCTCAGCTGAGTGTCGGTGCCATGGTCATACATTGTAATAACTCTGTACTGTATATGTATGTGTGTGTCAGGTATTTCAGTTCTACAGCTCATCATGCAGCGCAACTCCCCCTGCCAAGTCCAAAGCACCCAATAACAACAGAGCCCCAGTGCTGTTATCCTTCACCAGGATGATGAAGGAATGATCTGCGTAGAAGAGTTTGGGTTTCTCCACATGCTCGTCCTTGTCCATGCTGTCCTTACTGCCTGACTCTGAGGTCAGCTCCAGGGAGGCCCAGTGAAGAACGTCCCCCAGGTGAAGATTCCCCTTTGCCTGGCCAGACAACCCAGAGAAATCTGCCACCTTCTGGTCCCACGCATCTACCACACCCAGCGCAGCCAATTGTTTCTGGAGGAAGAGGAAGAAACACACAGAGACAAAGAGAAAGGAAGATATAAGCTCATGTAGTTCTTAACAAAAGAGATCACTCAAAACCCTTTACCCCAAATTACTCTGCTCTAAAAAGGCCACAAAGGGGTTTCAAAATGGTCCGAATCAATTATGCAGACTAAATTAAATTTAAGAAAAGCCAGCTAAAATATCAGCCAAAGGAGAACTCTAAAGATTAAACATTTATGACCCTCATGACAGTAAATGGCTGAATATAAAACTACACGATTCTCCAGACAGATGAAACCGGCAAATGAAAACACAAACAGAAAGGGCGTCATGATAAATCAATAAGATCTCAAAAATTCGTTCTCTCTCTTCTTTATTGTCTCCCATTTCTCTTAAAGCGTGACAGATGCCCTTGCTGGCAGTGCGGGCAGTACAAACTGGGCGACAGGAGTTGAAGATGGTGGCCGAGGGAGAGTCGCTTATGAATAATTTAAAAATGATCCCTCTGACCTCGGCTCTCCTTTGTTTTCCTTTCTGATATGAATTCGGCAGAAAGACGCCGTCTGACAGGTAGTTTATATTCCTGCAGATGAGATCCGGTAGAAACGACAGCCCCCACAGAGAGAGGGAGGGAGTCTGTTTATGTGTGTCTCTGTGTGTGTGAGAGAGAGAGAGAGAAAGAAGATTGGTGTAATAAGAATGTGGGAAGATTGAGAGACTCCCACTGTGTTGGTGAAAGCGCAAATTGAATAGCAAATGGTTTAACTGTACATGATTAAGCATTTAAGAAGTGATGACTTTTATAATTAAAGAGGAAACACATGCACACTCTGTCTTCTGTCATATGACAAAAGCAAAATGAGCAAAACAAAATAATGATCAGTGGGAGCAGCAGCGCTAACATGCCTACCGAGGTGATTTGAATGAAGGAGAAGGTGAGGTTGTTAGAGAGAGAGAGAGAGATAGAGGGAGGTTGATAATGAGAGAGAGGAGGAGGAGAAGGCAGTGACAGTGCTTGTCACCTGTGCTAACATGGTACAACCCACCACAGCTCTCCAACTCTCTAACTTCTCTTTGTCTTGTTCTCTCTCGCATACACACACACACACACACACACACAGCCCTACTCTAATGCACTTCTATTGTCTTCATCTATTATTCTTCCTTCCTTCCTCCACTTCATCACTGTCTCTGTCCGCTGCTCAGCCACCTCTGTGGCATCCTCATCCCTCATCTGCCCTTCTACACTTGTTTCATCCCCCACTTTCTCCCACTCTGTCCATTTCTCACGCTGGCTTTTTCTCACTTTAACCTGCACACGGTTTCTCCTGCAGATGCTTGCGTTTGTACTGAGCGACGCTCTTTTTCAACCAGTCAACACAACCTCATCCTTTCTTTAATCGCCCTTCCTCGCAAAGGCTTCTGTCAGAGGAAAAACTACACAGGAACATTGTTGTAGAGTTGTAGTATTCCTCTACATTAATTACCTCAGGCTAGTTGCTTCCGTATTCCTGAGGGATGTTTAAAGGTTTGTCATTTTCCAGGAAAAAAGCAGGACGATTTTCTCTCCTGCTCTCCACACCCGGCCCGTACAGGCCTGACCTGGAGCAGCTTGTTGCCACGCCGCTGACATGGCAGCGTGTGCAGCTCCGACAATGCTGTCGCCAGCAATTAGAGTCACACGCAACATTAGCAGACATCTCCCAGCTTGCATTATGCCAGGTTCTATAAATAGAACCCTCTCCCTCTCTCACCCTCTAAATATGTCTCTTCGCAGGATGGAAAAGCTTGCTGGGTTGGAATGGGGGGGGCGGAGGTCACTTAATTTTTTAAAACAATCAGTGTTGAAATATTCAGCATACATGTGACAGCACCAGGGGTGATGGCGGGGCGATGGATCTGAGCCACACTTCCTACCACTTCCTTGCGACTTGCTTCTCCATGGCCATATGTGAGAAACGTACACATTCACTGCAGGCTACTGGCAAAGAAGGGCCTGCTCTAGCTCTGACTAAGCTACACAGCTGTTCAAGCTCCAAGCCATTTGATGCTAATGCTAATGCAGCTCCGTGGATGCCAGCTTCAGGCCGTCCTGAAGGTGGATGCTAAACCTAGGTGAGGTGCACAGGAAGTTGGTATTTAATTAACAACAGGTTTGGGAAGAATGTGAGTTTGCTAGACAAGCCCAGCAGGAGGGAGGAGAGGAAGGAGCGAGGGCAGAGCTGGCGCATGAAAGTGGCGCTACAGGGCCGCTGTTTTCTGGATATAAATGGGGAAAATGTGTGATGTGTCACGCCATAATGCGTCACCCCAGACTGCCCGCTAATGCACCAAACCTGACTGACAGATGGAGGGACAGAGAGGGAGCACAGAAAAGGAAAAAAAAGAAGGGGATGGAGGAGAGAGGGAGCCTAAGTAAACATGGTTCAAGTCTAATGCTGCTCATTGGATGGAAATGGAGCATGTCACTCTGTCTCTCGCTCCCCCTCTTACACACACTCTCTCCCTGAGCACAAACTTCTTCTAGACTTAAATTTACCTCTCAGTTTCTCTGTCTCCCTTCAATCTTCTGAGTAAACTTTACTGGATTCTTTGTCCTACCATACGTTTGACAGCAAACAACTGCTGTACATAGCCGTACAGTGTCCTGTTGTTTATCACCATCAGCATCTTTCCAAAACAGCACAAACCACACGAACAATACATGAGAACATCATTGCACCTAGGTTGGCTCTCTATACATCAACGGCACAAGAAACTGCAGCAGAGCAGGATAGTGAAAATTGCACATTGGCGCGTTTTAATGCCTCGAACTGCATGTTTTATTCAGAGTCGTAGCATCTAAGCAGCAGTCACCTCGAAAAACCCTCCTTTCATAAAAACCGCCTCCGAGATTATTCAGGATTTTTTGTCATTCATGTCTTATTCCCACTGGCCCAAGCTCTCTGTGTCTCATCATCTCTCTTCTGTTCTCTTTGCCAGTCCCATTGTCAATACCTTCATTTATTTATTTACCCCTCTCACATCTTGTTTCACCAGACCAACTTCATGGCATTTATCAATGTCATGAAAAATCAGAGTACTTGGCAAGAGGACCTGGCTGCTGGAACAGAGAATTAGTAATGCCAGCCCCTTTGCGGCTGAAGCATAATGTATTACTACATATAGACTAATTGTGGTCTTTTACATTTAGTTGTCCTATCGTTGCTCCGCCCTCCGCCTCCGTAGATAATGCTGTTTTTATCTAAATATCTAAATTTAGAGTGTATTATTGATTTCAAATGTTCATTATTGATTTTCAGATGCTAATTAAATTTCAGTTAGGTACAGCAACATGGTCCAGCTTGTTAGCATAGCATTTTTAAAAAGGAAGCAACTCTAAACAAGAACTGTACATTTTACATTATTCCAGTGTGAATAATTTATGTATTTTAACAAACACTGAACTGTGCACTACAATTTCTCATTAAGTTTAATGGGATTTTTGCCAATATTAAAAGCTTGTCCAACTTGCTATGAAAGACTGCATTTGTGGGAGAGCCTGGATAGGTCAATTAGTCAATAAATAACTCTGCAGCCCTGGGCTGGTACAGCAGCACTGACAGGGGGTCCGTAAGCCTGCTGTTTATTAGTGCTTATGAGTAGACTTTATAAAATGGGGCAGGCGGTTACTTAAATGTAGACTTATCTGTCTGATCTGATCTACAATAAGACCATTGACCATTATGGACAAGTCAAGCTGTGGCCAGGGTTATGGGTAATTTAGTTCTCATTATACTGTACAGACTGAGCAGAGATGACAGTAAATAAGCTACCTATGCTTAAGGAACATAGCAGGCTACCCTGCTGTGCCATAACATAAGGGAAGTCATTAGCTTGTAGCACGTCTTTGTTTTGGCCTTCAGTCGGAGCTCAGCAGACTCACTACAATACACTCCGTGACCTGATCAGGGAGTGTGTTTTTCCTTGTCTCTCTGGCATAAACATGGAACCACACTCTCCAGTTACAGCCCCACACTGGCATCCTGTGCTTTGGCACTAATGTTAGGGCAGTTAATAAAGTAAACCATTACAAATCACTAATTACTTCTGTCAAACTGTAATGAGATTACTTGTCCTCATTATTTCCTGGAAGTAATCTTACTACTCACTTTAATTCTGTGTTACTCTCTAAAACCCAAACACCTCTGTACCAACTGAAATGTACAACAGAGAATCCAATAGTCCTTTCATTACTTCATTTAGAAAGAAACTGCCAATCATCATTTAAAAGGGACATCACCTGGACAAGATATAGTCAGTTATGAATTTGGTTAATCTTGTTTCAAAACCCAGAAACTAGCCAGTCGAAACAGTTCAAAACACCTTTTTGAAAACACTGGAAACTCAAAAACCCTGGTAAATGACAGATCCTTAAGAATAAAATGTAAGGCTTACAGAGCTGTTCCTGAATGCAAATGTGCCTGGCGTGTTTAGGTGATGCTGTGTCTCTCTTCCTCAGAATACAGATATTTATCCAGTTTCATATTAGCCTGATTAGATTCTTCAACAGATTACTTTATGCCACTTTCAGCACTCACTGGTCACACTCATAGAATTATGCAGTGATACGATGAAGGTAGCACGTGCATGAAATGACAGGGACCAACAGAAACTATATACAGACAAAATATTACGTATTAAATGCATTGCAAGTAATTATTATTGTTCTCCTACAGACATATGAGTAACAAATAATATAATGAATACTAGTAATGTGATTATAAGAATTTAAAGAGCCTGCATTTTCCTGTATTTTATTCATAATATTTATGTGGGTTTTTATGTACCAAAAACAGCCATAATTCATTTTTCCATGACCATTTTTATCCCTTAGAATTATTGTTACTGTGCTGAGTACAAAGTAAGTTGTTTTTGCAGCTTAGTTTCTGTGTATGGAGGTTAATGGTACCTTTGAAACTTTAAGAGTGTTTACATACTATATCAAGCTGTTTTATCAGAAAAAAGTA